CAAAAGTTTGCGCGCACTTTTCTGGTGGCGACTTGTGTAATGGCGGATCTATCTACAAGACTTTAGGGTGCTTTTGGCTGAAATTTTTGTCCCGAACGCAGTATGAGGGCTAGGAGGCGGGGCAGCAATTGAAACGTCATTGGTGCAGGGACAGTGGGTCCACCATACAGGAGGAAGGAGTATCCTATGAGGGGAGGGGGATCATACATGATTGTTGTGGGGGGGGAGGCGAAAAGTCGCATTGATTTCAGGGGTTTTCGCTTCAAGGCTTCAAGGCAGACAGTGTTCCCCGTTCCAAGTGTTATATGTTCCAGTTGGCGAGCCGCCTGAGTCCTACAGAGCTAGAATTTCGATAGCAGAAATTAGCACTTGTTTTTGACGGCCTCATCCTCCCCCTCCCATCCCCTTCTCCCGCTCGACTGCTGTTTTATGAGGGAGAACTGGGAAGTTACAGGGAAAATGGGAAGGGTTGGTAAGACGGTAGGGAGGATGGTGAGTGGTAGACTGTCCCTGTAATCATGCGATACTTAGTTGGAATCGTCTAACTGTGCAAGTAAAGTCGTTGTGCACGGCGGAGATTGACCTTGCGATTTCCAAGTGGAAAACTGGAGCTGGGTCAAGGCAGCGTCGTCTTGGGAACTAGCGTGTACAGTAACCCGTATGAAGTATTTTTTTCTATCAATTAATGGGTGGGCATGGAAGAATACTCCGGGCACGTCCATCTATATCTCCTAGAGGAACATAGACCAATGAAAACCAGATTCTCTAAGGACTGCTCGAGCCGACGACTTTGAGGGGGCCAGTTATTCTCGTTAAGTCGTGAATCTGCCGCATAACATTCTGACATCCCGCCAGCCATGGAGTTCATAAATCCGCTGGTTCGATTACGTTTTTATAGGCTAGGTGTCCTTGAAATGGCAAAAGGAGGACAGAATCCATATAAAAAAGTTATATGGAAGGTCATCGTCCTTTATGCAGTTGCGTTCTAGTGATGTTAAACGGGGGGGGGGGGGACGCTGCATCTTAGACCCTTACGTTCAACTGAGCAGGGCACATACTGCTGCTGGAGAGAAACTAGCAAAAACGGTCTCTCTCTCTCTTTTTTTTTCCGACACTACTAGAGAGGGTTTCCGTAATACCAAAGCCTCGATGCTACTTTCTCCAAAGAAAGTCTGCCTTTGAGCGGAAGGGGGGGGGGGGCTGGTGTGGTAATAAAAGATTTAACGCTCTTGAAATAACCCCAACGAAAATACCAAAGGAAAAAAATGTCAATTAATTGAAACTAGTTCTCCAAGGCGATTACGTACCTCCCTCATTGCAGCGTTCAACTCTATTGATTAATCCCAAGTAGGGAGGGTTCGTAAATTCGGTCGCTGAGGAGGGGGAATCGTGTTGCCTCTGAGAGAAAATTGCTGTGTTGCGAAAAAGTTCAATTTTTTTTCTGTTTATCCTGTATTCCGAGCTTGACGGCTTTTTCAAACTCGTTGGTATATACGCATCAATTCCCGCCGCTCGTCGGCAAAAATTTTGAGAAAAGAGGGAAATCCCGGAAATTGCAAAATTTGATGTGGCTAATGTCGCGGAGCCGAGAAACGTTGAAAGGATGGGGAAGAGGGGTTGTTGCAGAGGACGAAATAGGGGAGTGTTCGTATTTTCCAAAAATTTCACACAGCGGGAGGACGCGCCTTGTTTCCTCTTGAGCGACCAAGAGCGATATAAATTCTCAACTCCCCCCCCCCTAAGGCTGGCGTATCCCCAACGTAACTAACAAGTGCCAGACCTGCACGGCCTTGTTATATATAATAAAACTTTGCAAGGTAGCCCCTCTGGTCTTCGAACGCACTGGAAGACAACGACATGCAAGCCAGACGAGAAAGAGATGAAGATGGAAAGGGAAGATGAAGCCGTTTCGTCCACGACGCCGATGTTGGCTGCCCCTCCATCCACACCCCATCAACAGCCGAGCTCATCCCACATGTCCGCTCAGGCCATGTCTCTCTGTCACGAATCGTCTATGAAGGTGAACTTAGCATGTCCTTTATCCACCAAATAGCCTTCTCCAGCATTCTGTTTCAGTTTAAGGTCGATTCGATGCAAATGAACAATCTACCGTCCTACTCCGGTCTGCCACCGTTGTCATCGTTGCCTTCACTTCATTCCTCCTTGCCATCGTCCCTTTCCTCTGGATTCTCATCATCGCTGTCTTCGTCTCTTTCGTCCAGTCTGGCCACAAGTAGTCTACATGACCCGTCCAGCTCGCTCAGGACCCCTCTTAGACTACCAGAATTGAATTCTCTGAAAGGCAATATCCTACCTAATTTAGGATATCAATGAATTCCACCAAATGAATTTAGAGTAGTACAAATCTCGTAAGCATTCTAGCCTTGTAGAGAGACACCGTTCACAGCAATTCTCACAGCAATTCTATATCACTGCCCGATTTCTTGCAATTCTGTCGTCCAATGTGCATTTTCACATACCCTGAATGTAAATACATGAAATACAGTATCTAAATAGAGTACCAGGTTCCGGTTTAATTAGAGGCAGCGGGCACGATGGCTGGAGGCGGGCGGTCGCTGCCAACGTCATTGGTGGAGGGGTTGCAAGAGAGCGATTGGCCACGCCCATTCAGCCCTTTCACCAGTGACTTTGGCAGCGACCGCCCGCCCCCAGCCATCGTACCCACTGCCTTTGAACCAGCCCATTTGCGGACACACGTTCGTTACTTCAACACGGCTTTATTTGTTGAATCAGAGGATACACGTTGCACATCGTTCATCGCGCTCGTTCATTCTTCTCTCGTTTTCATTCTTCCTAAACGTGCATTTTATTTATAATTCAATTCATCATTGTTCTTTCTTCCCTATCCGTACTGTTGTGTTTTCTCTGTCAGTCTGTTAGTTAGTCCTTCACTAAGGTGTTTTGGTGTTGTGGGTCCTAGCAAGGTAGTGGAGTGTCGCTATCATTTTGGGGGATTCCCCTTTCTCCCGGACGACATTCCACTCTTACATCTTGATCGTGTAATATAATAATATATCTGTGATTTCTGTGCGAGTTAATTCTATCGTCTCTTCCTCACCTGACCTCCTTTAGTACACTGATGTATGTCCATTCCTTCGTCCTAATAAAAAACATTTCACATCGGAATTACACAACGTGAAACGCTAATGAACTTACAAAACTTTGCGTAAAGATTAAGGGAGCCGGTTAGGAGATCCACGCTGCGGTAACATGGCGAAAGCTTGCAAGTGCGCGGCATTCGCTTCGGTACCTTGATTTAATTACTGCTTCATGTACGGTGTCACTCACGAAGAATCAGCAAAACAGTGATTCGGGCGAGTTAGTCCAGTTTGCTAAACTCGCAGGACTGTTCAAGAAGATGGAGGATGTTGGTTGGGAAGTCCACGCTGCGGTAAACTTGTAATTGCGCGGCATTCGCTTTGGGACCTAACTGAATTAATTTGATAAGGAAACGTTGTCAAGTTACCATAAATGTGTGTGGTTTTGATAAGTTCTTTCAGAAACTGATTACAAGTAAAATAGATACCTTCTGGAACTTTCAGAGGAGAATCGCTTCAAAGATATACTTTGGCCCTTGGACAATAGAGGTTGCCTTTGCTGCTGCATCATTAAGGGAAGGCAGGAAAAAGGATTGCAGATCAGAGTAAATTCATTAAACATATTTACCGTTCCCACTGTGAAATATACCGCTTGCGGGTTGAGGACGACCTGGGAGACCACCACGACTACAGTTGGGAAGGACCACGCACCAATCAGACTCAGTGATTCTGAGTCACACTCACCACCCCACTTTCTCGCGCAGTAGGATGTTACATGTGGAGCGTTTTGTCAATCTGTTATTAATGTTGCACCAGTTACGCTTCACCGGTTGAAACGACAGCACGGGGTTCTTCTGGGTTGAGCGTCCCTACGTGTTATGCCTTTCCAGCGTCCTAGACAACCCCCAGCTAAACTTACGTCGTTTCAGAGGCTTGCGCGAACCGAATGTGCAACCGTGTTCTGTATAAGTGGAAGGGGAGTTGTTCATGCTGCGAATGTGGGAGAATTCCCGTAACGGCTGTCTCTTACAGTGCAACCACCCATTCAGCGAGGAATGAGCCCCCTTCTGGACCTGCTTCTTGGCGTTGCTGATAGCGATAGCGATGCCTACAATGTTTATTTGGAAGTTGCTCACCCAGTGCATACATTCACGATCGGAGAAGCGGTTGGTGGGCAGCACGAACCCCCTCCGCTTAAGGGTTTTTGCCTTCAGTTACGTTTCCACCGTATAATTTCCACAAACGTTTCCCCTGCTTCAGTTCAATGCTCCGGTTCTCGAATAAGACATTTTAACTTTTCCTCCCGAGTGACAGCCAGGGCACATCATTCATTGGGGATTGTGTCGAGTCCATAGGACCCCCCTTTTTTCTGGTGGGGGATGGTAAGACCGACCTTCCCCTACTTCCCTCCTCATCGAACTATCGAGCGGGAAGGAGGGAGGAATGGTACACATGAAACAGGAAAAACCTCGAAAATTCAGCAACCTCTCTCAGGTCAGAAGGGTGAATGCGAAATACTACCCACTTTAAACAACGAGCAAATTGACCGACCCCTCCAACCCTCCCCACCGCCCCTTGCGACCTCCCTGAAACAAGAAAATGTCAAACAATTGTCAAAAAAACTTCTCAGCCCAAATGTGAGCTCCCTCTTCCAACAACTAAACACGACCTTCCCCTGTAGGCAGGGCACGCCATCTTTGTGATCATCACAACAGGGGGGTCGTATTTGCCCGCGATGGGGGGGGGGGGGGTCGTAAACGCATGGCCCATGTTGAAGTGGAGAGCGGCGGTGATACACGGTACAAGTAAAAGAAGCTCAAAAGGGACGATGTAGATGACAATAAATAGAACTAGGCACTATCGAACTATTCCTAGGCCAAAAACTAAAAAAAATATTGCTGAAACTTTTCCTCCCTCACAAAAACTTCAAGACACTTCGCCCACCAACCCTCCTCATCTGGTCTAGATAAATCCCAATCCACTAATCCGCAAAATCTAGAAAAGAATCCATTGCAAAAGCTACCTATGAAACCGTAGAAATTGAATCCTGAGCAATTTCCTCACAACAAAATCAAACTCAACAAAACAAAATCAAACTCAACAAAAACAAACAATCAAAGTAATTCACAATGAATGGATAAGAAAAAACTCCACCGCTCAGCTGGGAACCGGAACCATGGATTACTTCGAAATTTTGGCTGTTCGCGGTCAGCGCGCTCATACAAGCGCATTGGTGCGCGCTATTTTACGGTTTGGAGCCAATTTCAAGCCAAACACGTGAAAAGTACCCCTCATTTGAACACCCATAACTTCGTTGAAAGTGAAGCTATCGGAGAGGGGTAAGTGGGAATGAGTAGAGCTAGGTTGGCTCTTATCACCTGAATTGAGCGATTTCAAAAACGTTCCGGTTCCAGAGATTTTCCCCGTTGTGATCATCTTGTGATCCATCTGTGATCATTTTTGCGAACCGCGAGTCGCTACGCTTTGGACGTCCATGGCAAGCTTCATACACGACCTTTCGTAAAAAAAGAACTGTGCCGGAAGCTTGAAGATTTCTACTTTCCAGCAAGGTTTTAATTTCCTTCCTAGACCTAAACTATAAATTTTTTACTTATTCGAAAAAATTCCTCGTTGTGATCATTTTGTAATCACCCCCCACGACACCGAAAAATCAACCCCTCCGAGGCCAGGAAACCTCCAGTTGGCTCGAAGACTTTGGTATGCTTCTGAAACACATGTTTTCGTCAAGCATATCAGGTAATAGGCCATTGGGCGCCAATTGGCATCACATATGCAATGCGCCATGCATGGGGCTTTCACGCAGGTGTTTGAAAGGTGTAACTTCTAGATAGGGCGCTTCCCAATTGCAAGCAATGTGCTCCTACGATCAGAAAAGTCCGGGAATGTACTTTCATCTGTTTATTAATCGTCACTTCGTGAGTCCTCTTGTGGCTTTGTTTTACTAAACCTCCCCTCATGGGCGCCCTTGTGTGGGCGATTGTTCCACGTAGCTCCTATCATCGCCCCTTCCTCGTACGTATTGTCAGTATGCTACACCAGCGCCAGAGTGCTGGACGTGCTTGGGACGTACGTAGGTACTGCGACCCCCCCCCCCCGCTCGACAGCAAAATTTTGTAAAAAAACAGCGGAACTTCTTTTGGTGGAAAAATAGCACAACTGGCTGGGTAGGAGGTTGGAAAACTCCAGGGAAAGAGGTAAGTGGGCGGAGGGGGCGGTGGGGTCGTATACTTGAAATGGAAATTAGGGGAGGGCGCGTATTTTTCAGGAAATGATCGCAACCGCAATTGGCGCTGCCCTGCCTGTTGGGCGAATCCCCAACAATGCATGTCCCGCCCTGCGGTCACCCACCCCTCTAACTGAGGATTATATATCGCGAATGAAACAGGAACAATCGTAACAAGTCAGTTACTGATAAAATTTTTCCAGCAGCTTGAAAATGAAGAAATCTTTATCAAGATCAGATTTTATCCTCTAATGAGAATCTGCCAACGGTGTTGTACCCGTCTTCAGTACCTAAAGATGACTCGCAAAACCTCAGCATCGCTCAGAGCAAATAGGCAGCTCAATGTCAAACGAGATTTGGGTAATTAAGGTGTGGAAAACAAGATCAAGAGACTCACCATACCGGCGTCCTCAAAGGTCCTCACTTCTATGTATGTAAGCGGTCTAATCTGATCTCAAAAAGGTCCTGGGATAAAGAAATTTCTCAGCGCTTGTCACATACATGACAAACCTACTGTGTCAGCTCCTATTAGTTGGGTTGTTTAGAGTATTGTGGTGGTATGTAGGCCACAGCGAGATCTTCAGCAGAGTGAATGAAAAAAACGTTTACAGGGATTTGCCTAGCCAAAGCATTTTTAAGCTGCCCATCCTTTATCTGAGACATAAATGAGACCCATTGGCTTTATTCTTGCGCGCAAACAGGCTTTGAGTCGGGATGAGCGTAATTGTGGGGAGGGGGAGGCAGAGAGGACGAGAAACGTCTTTGTCGGGGAGGGAAAGGAGAGAGGGATGCAGTTTCGTCCAACGTACTAGATTCCTGTTTGAATTCATTATCATCAACAAATGACTGTTAGAGATTATCATCAGTAACTTGAAGAAAATAAATTAACAGGCCCAGGCGTCAGAATTGCGTTCACACTTGGCCGATATCGCGTCGCTCTCATAAAAACGATGCGACTTGGTATGATCAAGCCGATCAGTAATCGAACCACCCCGGTCACGAGTAGCGCGCGATCACAGCGACCAAGTCGCGAAGTGTAAACTCACTCGTACAATTAGACTGTTCAAACAGTCCCATGAAGGAGTCGATCTAGTTGCCTGGGGGCCTACTTGGCAATATTTGCTTTGATACCTTCTTTGACTGTTTCTCCTTTTCCTTAGAGTACTTATACCCCACCGTCCACACGATAGCAGGATTTCGGTTAAATTTGGAAGTCATAGAGGAAGGCAGGTGGGGCGAAAGGTTGTATCGAGGCTCTTCTTTCGACGGGGATCATGCTGAAATCGCCACTTCACACATCCCGGTGATCTGCCCTGGTTCGAAAACAGGTGAGAGAAAGGAAAGATTCGCTTGATAAAAGTGCACCAACATTGTTGGAGATAGTCTTGCTTGCTGTGGAGGTTTCAGGGGCTGAGGTTGGCGCGGCGCCAGCCTGTTCTCCACCAATTGTGGTCGCCTGCCAGCTTCCCTCATTGATGGAGAACAGGCTATCGCCTCGTCAAACCCACCCCCCTGACACACCCCAGTTCCGCCGCGAAGAAGACTGCATTCGATGCATCTGCCTTCGTTAAACAGAAGCTCGAAAAGGGGCAGGGTCTTTTAAAAGGTCCTTGTAAACTGTATATTGTGGGATATAGCAATCTCTTCTAATCTTTATTCACCGATAAGCAGTCAACATAACTTAATATGGCCATGTTACATGAGCTGCCTAGCTTTGGAGTTTGGCTCAAAAGCCTGATGAAATTTTGGTTGATAATGTCTCATGCGATTTGCAGAAGTAAACTAAAGATGAATAAGTGAGACGAAAGCTAAAGGTCTTTGCTCCGGTTGTCCAGCCCAGGAACATGCTGAAAAGAGAAAAAGGCTTTTTGAATAGTACGCACAGCAAAATGTGCACCGCAGTTCGAGCGGTAGGAGCAATCGATCGCAACAGCCAGTCGACCCCGATATTGATCGATTTCGTCGAGCAAACTACCGGTGCCAGCGATCATTGGCTCAGGTCATGATCAAAAGCATGTAAGAGGGCGTGCATTGGGGCACATCCAGGACCGTCTTCTCCACCATCTGTGTCTTCAGAGCCCGCAGCAATTGGTGGACAAACCTGCCCTGGCTGCGTTTCTCTACACGCCCCCTCACAGGCCCTTCTTTTGCAAGGGTGACTATGTCTCATAACCTGTATGATGACCCGTCTCTGCTGCTAAGCCTTGTTTTACTTGCGAGTGTTTCGTTGACAACCTGCAACTACCCAGTGTGGGCACAGCATCGTTGTGTGAAACGCATGGGGGACGTACTCGGCTGCAGGGGAGGTGGGGGAGCTTGTATGCGCCTTTGAGAGAAATTTGCCGCGTTGGGAAGAAATTCTTCCCGGTTGTTGACTTTTTGCAGTTTTTCCGTTTCGCACTGGCTATATCCCCCTCCCTCCCCACCCTTCCCCCGCTCGACGGAAAATTTTTGGATGAAAAACTGGGAAATATCGTGGAAAAACTCGTAGGGAGCTGGGAACCTGTAGGAAAAAGGTAGGTAGGTGTTGGGAAGGCGGGAGGGAGGCAAGAGTCGTACCGAGACTCTCTCTTTTAGGTGGGGGTGGGTCGTACCGAAGCCCTACTTCGAGGGGGGTCGTAATGACACCACCATGTCACACATCACGATGCTGCACCCTGTTGGGCGAATACTTAGCCCCCAAGTAAGAACAGATCTTATCCATGGAATTTTTACCCAGAACCACAGCGACCATAATGCAGCTTCTACTCTCGTTAGCAGATAAGTGGTACTTTATTTCGGGTGCCTTATCTGGGTGTAATGTCATTGCACCTTTTCCTGCTTTCGCCTCCGCACTCGAACTGCCGCCACTTTTTCATCAAGTTCAAAGGCAGTAGGTACGATGGCTGGGAGCGGGCGGTTGCTATCAAGGTCATTGGTGGAAGAGCTGCAGGAGCCACATCGGACTCCGCCCTTCCACCAATGACGTTGGCAGCAATCCTCCGCCCCCAGCCATCGTGCCCACTGCTTTTGATGGTATGAAAACATACCTCCAACAACACAGGATTGAACATTTCCATTCCAATTCCGACTTCCGTGACCGTCTCTGCGATTTTAACATTCGCGCTGCAAATTGTACTTGTTGTTCAACGTATTCTGGTGTTACAAACAGACAACCCACCCTTTTTTACCCTTAGTGCTGGTTCCCGGTGGATTCTCAGAAGTTTTCGTTGTTTTCAATATCTTCTTCTTTGGAGCACCACCTTCCTTCCGCATTCGTTGGAGCTCTTTCCTACATGAGCAATACATGTAGTTTACAACATGGCAAGGTGGCGAGTGGCAGGAGGATTGGAATGAGCCTGCCTTGCTTTATCAGGGGCTATCGGTTAATGATTTACTGAAGGAGAAAACAACCAGTGTTGGAACGCCGCAGGTGGGCTCTTTCGATCTTCAGATCAGGGGAAGGGGTGGACCGCAAAAGATGAGAGCCGTATTTGGAGAGTTTTTCTCTGTGAGTTCTCTCTTCGTCGATAACGTCCACGTCGTAGGATGATTATTCTTGGCGCCCCCCCCCCCTCCTTCACCCGCTGAGAAACTTAGTAGTGGCGTCGTGTGAAGAAAAGTTCTCCCGTTCACGAGATACTCCGTGGCTGAGAGGTAGAGGTCATCATAAAGTAGACAGGTTCGCATTTCTCCCTCTACCACTTGTCTGACAGAAAAGTGTGCGGCAAGGGCTCTAATGGTCTGCAAGTTGCATCTGCACACACCTCTTACATCAGAATAATTCTTGTTTCTGGGTCTCGCACGTCTCCGTACTCTCTCATCACTCTCCGTCTAATCTCTCCTTTACGCACTCAGTGTTACTCTGCAATTTTGTTACTCTGAAATTTTCCACTCACTTGCAGATCAAAATAACGTCATCGGGCATTTTCGGATCCATGACGTTCTTCTTGTTGACCAGTAGTACGGCCCTAACGAACGTGACAGCTGCAGGTTCAACTGGCCGCTCTATGAGAACACGGGCCTGAAAAGACGGACTCTTCTCACCCGATACCCACGCCGCTTGCATGGCTGGGAGTCGCTTGGGTCGATCACGGACTCAGGCTGGCTCCGCCCATACGACCAGCGTGGAATGGGAAATAAGGTAACCTTTGCTAACTCACAATGCCTTCGCCTTCAGGTGCATTAAACGGACAAGTATATTTAAAAAAAAAAACTTGGCTTTCGCTTGACTTGACGTGCATTTTGTTCCATTCACTGCTAACAAGGCGTCACCAATGAAGAATGCACGCCGAGCGATACTGTTGAAGCCATTGTCTGTACTCTCCACATAGACCTGCACAGAGAGTATTTTCTCTGATGTCATGTCACAAAGAAATCAGCGCTTACGTGGTTTCGAGTGGGAGGGGGGAGGGGGGATGAACGTAAGTGTGCATATATTGCTGCTCAGTGAGACTTCGCGATGACTACGGTCGGTTTAGGACACGTCTAGCAGTTGTGGATGAATTTGCAGAATACGACCACTCTTTCATTCTGGGCGACCTCTATTTTTCATTCCCACCCTAATCTACTAGTCTTTCTAAGATTCTCCACCACAGCCTTTACTACCACCTTTCCATTGAAAGTTTCTCCCAAAAAAGTCTTGTTTGCGCTATGGGGTCTGCCCGGATGAGCGGCCTACGGGACAACTAACAACCCAATCCCTTTGATGGCAATTTCTGCTTTTCTCAACGCGCCTCTCACGTCTGCGCGGGCGTTCTGCGACCACTCTGACCTTTCATATCACAACTTTTCACTTATAGTAAGCGGCTTGTCCACCCCGGGGTCCTCTCTCTTCGAAAAAAATTGATCCTACTCGCGACATGTTTTTGTTCCTCTCAATGCCTTCGTAGCCGCAGTTCTTTGTTTCTCTGCGCTCTGGCCTTTCAGCAGGACCCCCACCAGAAGTTTTAGTTGTCACGTAACCAGGTTGAGCCATGAGGGCAAAGGAAGCATAGAGGGGCAGACAACCCACCCCCCCCCCCCCCCACGCGCGAACAACGTTAGCGCCAAGGACTCATGTATCTTTGATAACCTTTTTGTTAACAGATTTGATATTGATTCCAAGAGATGATCTAGGGAAGAATATCATCGTGTTCTTGAAGTAATCACATCGTTGAGATGAAATGATTTCACTAGGAATAGATGGATCGCTCTTGGGTACTTGCACTGAGGAGACCACCCGTTCGACGGAGAACTTAATCTGGAAACTAGTAATCAGTTGCTTTTACAGGAGTAACAACAGTATGAATCTGTTATTTCTCAGAGTTTCCACTAGCGACACTCTCTAGAAAAACTCTTGCAGGTTGACTTGGTTGTTACAAAATCACGTTGCAGAATATAAAAAGTAGCTCTTAGAGGTACGGTTCTATCGGCATATGTATGCGGCGGAGGTCAGGCCTCCGCAACGTTGCGTTTCTCATTGATAACTCTCCTGGTCAAGAGGAGTAGCATATCAACGATGGAGGCACACTAGTGGGCCTAACTTGGCCCTTGCATTCATCGTGAATTGTGCCTCCGCATAAAGAGTCTGCTGTCTGGTGATTTACCTGTTATCCTACTTTTTGCAAAAGCACTATTCCTAAGAGTTTGCTTACCATTTGATTCTGATTCTTGCTTGATAAATCTCTGATTATCTGATAAAAATGACATTTATCCTTAACAGTTTCGTCGTTTACACCGGTCACATAGTCACCAAATCTAGGTGGATTTCATAGAAGCTGGACACGGCCACCAAGAAGTCGCTGGTCATTTGAACTGTTTCGGCCTCAGGCTGAATACATTGTCTTAACATGTGCTTTGCATTTATTTTCCTTGCTGCAGGAAGCGGAAAATGCGCTGAGCTATTCGTTAGCGGCCTTGCTGTCTGATGCTTGCATTACACTGCCTCTTCTCCATCTGGATTCTCGCTATCATGAATGCACTCGCAGCCAAACCCCTTTCCGCCTTCAGATATGGACTGTGTACGGTGGCATAGCGGCCCACTATGGGTAGAGCTGTTGCAGTGGGCAAATTGGGCCTCGGCAACACCATGGCGCGTAGCAGACCTTCGGCTCTCCTAGCTCGGATGAAGGCAGAAGGGACGATTAATACCCAAGACGTGGGATTAGAGGGCAAAAATTCGGCGTCTCTGAGCAGGCGCTGCGCAATGCATTCTCTAAGGGAGGTTCCTTATAGGCCCCAGCAGGCTGCAATATACCGACACGAAAGCCCACTGCGCGCGCCCACCACGAAATGTCCGACATGCTGACACACGTATCGCTTCATTTGCTATGTACAAAATGAAGCGAAGTATAGGAATCGGCTGCCAGTATCTACCGTAGCGATTGTTGGCACGATGCCAACGGTAAACTCGTCCGAAATTACTTTCTGCTGAGTCTTTTTAAAAAAATTTTTTCTGCAGGTTTCTGACCATTTCACTTGCTTTTTCACCATTTCCCCACTATAGCACCCCTGCTTCCATTTTAGACCGAGCACCAAATCATCGTGCCTCGTGCCTTTAAGGCAGCTTTCAGAGTTTGTGATGAGGCGCGCCGACGCGCTACCATTGCAAAAGCGCTCAATCCTTCGCGACTAGAACGCATTCCATAGACGGCATTGATCAGCGCCAGCGTCTAGTGTTTAGGAAGAGTATGGAAGATTGGAAGAGTGCCAGATATCGTGACAGTATGGTTAGGTGTTATAAAGATGCGAATACGTCTGGCCATGCGCGTTCGCATCTTCTCCGAAACCTATTGAGCGCACCAATGAGTTACCCCTTGCTGTGGTGTTTTCGCGTCTATTGCACGCGCGCTTATTTGCTGAATATTTAGTAACCGAAGTCTGAACGCTGTCTAAGCGGGTTTATACGTCCTCTCACTCTGCACATGGTTTTTGTGACAGAAGTTAGCTGTTTATTTAGGTCAATGCGGACACTGCCCAGAGCTTTTCGGCAAGATCGCGGCTTGCAGGGTCAGCGTTAAGTGAGACGGTTTCTCAGAATTTGCTAGGGCGGGGGGGTGACATACAACCGCTGTAATAGATAGTCATGCTCGACCTGACAGAACGTCCGAATGATCAGAGCTGATATCGGATCTGTGAAACGATCAATATTTCACGAGAAGCTTCGGGGGCACTTCATTTCAATTGAGGAGGGCTTGCGATCGTGTCGGCTGAGCCTTCTCTCGGCCCTTCTGCAGCACTTTCAAGTACTACCTTCGTTAACCATGATTCGGACGTCACCTACCCCCAGCGTCCCAGACGAAGGGTCTAGCCATTTAGGCAAGTATGGTTGAAATCAAAAATTCACCTGGGATACTATACCTCATTCGGAGCACATTATTCTATATGGCGCCCCCCAACATCTGCTTTTTCCACAAGATTTCTGGGGATGAATTGCGGCAAACCCTGCTCGCGGTCAAATGCTTCTAATGGGTTGAAAATCGCTGGTGCTGAAAATCAGGTTGAATAGCAGGACATTTAGGCACAGAGAAGTACATCCATGAGCCCCGCAAGCGATAGGGTGTGTGACGTGACGCGTACTGCAGCGCGGCCAGGGCACCCCCTTTCACGAATGATGCCATTCTGAGCTCGCTACAGCTGGTGGGGAAATCAGATCTGGCTGTACTCTAGAGCATGTCCCGTCAGACGCCCTATCGAATGTAGGGACCACGACTGTACGATGTGAACTCACCCTTTTTCTTCAACTGGTGACTCCGTTCTGGGAGTAGTAGCCATTCGAGTAGCAAGTAAAAGGGATAGATGCCTCTCAAGTGATGAAGCGACTATTTAGTTGGGATGACGAGTGGTAAATGAGACCCCACCGATGCTTCATCCGTTCGACATGCATATTGCAAAAGCAAAATTTATCAAGTGTTCATTGTGATCGGGTAGGGTCAAAACGGAGTGTGATATTAGTCGATAGTCCCCCTCGCTCCTCTACATTTCCTTCCTTATTTTTCAGTCGCTAGTGGATTAAAGGCCCACTACACGATAACCAGATGGGCGGAGACTTGCGACTAACCATTGAGCCTTTATACTGGATGCACCTCTCCCCTCAATACGCTTTCCCTGTCCAGCAACTTAGAGGTGATCAGACCATTCCTATAGTTGATATCGTCGCAATTCGGCGGTGTGGTGTCAGGGGGCGTAGAATTTGCCCAACCCCAGCTGCTTTCTCGACCAGTAGTAGCAAGTTCAGGTGAAGAACAACTGGCGGTAGAAGATGCCGCAAGTGGACTAGTTCCACGCCTTCAGATGAGCAGACTGCCTTCGATTGTAGGGGCTAAAAAAGCACGTTGCCTCAGTTCACCAGCCTGATGGGGTATAATCGCGATCCCTGCAAACGACAGGAAGTGAGCAGGGGCGTGTAGAATTGCTGCCACAAAAGTTTTTTTGCCCTTCTCGCCAATTGTTGCGAACTCAGGTTGAGATCATTGATGGGAACGGCCTTCGGTATTCTCACAATCCACCGAACTGACGTGTGTGGGGTATCTTGACAAGTAGCACAGCTGGTAGGATAGAGCACATGGGGAAAAGGTTCTGAGCCACGTCCGAGAGGCCACACTTCTGATTTTTCACAGTACCGGGGCCATAGTTCCCAGAAGCCACGGGTGGCTCAGTCTAAAAATTACCCATTGCTTCAGGTTGTCTCAGGAATATTTTACCCCGTGTATCCCTTTGACCTTGCCTCCTTGTTAGGCGTCACTTTTGCTGAGACCATTGGACATGTGTCTCTTATTCTTGCCCCCATCCCTCCCCCCGCAATTCGGCCGCAGTTTTTTGGAGAAAAAGGGAAACTGCTAAACCAACCTTGGAATGAGGTAGAAAGTTGCGGAGAACTCAGGGAGATCGTATGGCGGATAGGGGAGGGGGTTTGTTACTATGACTGAATCACTAATTTATATTTACTAAGCCGAAAATGTAAATTAGTGAACAAGCGGTGCTGCTCAAAGTGTGGAAGTGGGGCAGTGACAGTCTACGCCCCGACATTCGAAAAGCGTGTGGGCCCCGCCCCATTACATTGGGGGAGGGGCATCTGGAAAGTTTGAAATTCGAGCTTGATTCACTCAACTGGTAGGATCAGGAAACTTGGGGAAGGAGTGCACGATTTCAAAAAGATCGCCTGTGGCTCGTTTAAAGGGGATTCGTCGCAACCAACCATTTGAACCCTTACTCTTATGCTGTCAATAACAATTAAACGACAACACGCCTTGCTAACTCAGCCCTAGTTCCAAATGTTTACAGTTGCGTTAGATGCCATCCAATGGCAGCTATTTTGTCAGAGGGGTCAATCAGCAAATTATCGATAAGATAAGACGACACTTTCGGTCATCGCCATGCCCTCCATCACTCAACTGGTCGTGATCGTCTGCGTTTTTGCTATTTCTGTAAGTTCAGTAACAATGTCCTTGACATGGCCCTGTTCTAAATTCTCGTGACAATCTATATTTGAGTAACTTGTGATTCGTGAAATTTTCATTCGAAAGGCGGCGCAGTTCAGCGAGCTGGGGCGCCATGTGTGTTTTCGCTGCTTGCCATATACACAGTTTTGTTTGGTACTCTTCACATAATCGACAAGTAATCTTTACAAATTTTCATAAATCTCCAACTGATGGTTAGACACGACCATGGGAAGCAGCGAAAATGCAAAATGCTCCCCGCATCTAGCTGAACTGCGTGAGAGACTCCAAAACGATCAGAACCTTCTCGAACTTGCTGGTGCTCTTCACTTTTTCAAGGAGGAGGGACAAGACATGCCAGAGATTCAAGAAGTTTACTGACTGGCAGAGTACAGTCTTCTTCATAGCTTTCCTTTGTAGGAATCAATCAATTGCGGTGAAAGTTCCACTTGCCCCGATTTGACCACTTGCTGTCGATTGCCGGTGCGTAGGTTTTTGACGATCTGTAATTTGCGGTTTTTGAGCTTGATAAACCTTTGTTTAGAACCGCGAATGGGGCTGTTGCCCTTTCCCGAATGCAGTATGCTGTCAAGATCATATTCACTGCTGCCCTCAGGGCACACATTGTGACCCTGAAGGACTTCAGTGCCTTAAATCAAATGTGAGTTCTTCGAAAGCTTAAGCATTTAGAGTTCGCCAGTCTCCTTGGTGCGTATGAAAACTGTACTCTTGTTCGCTGCGGATGTTGGGGCGTGTCAAAGGTGATGGGTTTGGCTCGGCGCTACCCCGGTTTACACCAGTTGCACTTGCTAACCCGCTTCAGCGACTGGTAGAGAACCGGCTGGCGGCACGCCAAGCCAGGGCATATCATCGTTGGGTAATCTTCAACAGGGAAGGGGTCGCATTTGGTCGCTGGGAGAGGGGTGTCGTCTGGGAAAAGAACTTCTTTGATATTGATTTTTCTTGTTTCAGAAG